AATTGGTACTAACTGATCAACACTAGGGTGATCACATAGCAGTAATACTCTCCAGGGATTAGGGAGATCAGGGGAGTAAACCCGCAACTAAAGGACACAGGGAGCATTGTAGGGGGAAGAGCATGCCTCTAACCCTTGCTTGGGTGAGGCAAAGACACAAAGGGTAACCATAATGTTTGTACCCTCATAATACCCTGAAATAAAAAAAAAAAAAAGAACTCTGGGCTACAGCTTGTCATAGCCATTGGTGTCAGTTTACTTCAACACGAACAGGTACAAGAGGAGGCAGTTAGACGACTCATCTCCTCTCCCACAATTCGTTACACCATGCTTAGGTAAGAAAGAAAGAGTAATGCAACCAATATCTCAAACTTTCATAAACTGCTACTGTTCAAACCACCAAATATCTCATGATAAACCTATCCATGATGCATCCCCTGGATACACCACACTTTTGCACTCTCCCAGTGATTTAGGTGTGAAACTACAAAATGTCAACAGTACGGTAAACTATCCTTCCTTGAAAAGACAGTATAGTTTAATGGTTAGAAGTGCCAACTTTTAACAACTGGGTCAGAATTTCATCTCCATCGACTCTCACTTACTGCTATGTGACCTTGGCCTGAACATTTACCCTTTCGGCTTCAGTTTCCTCACTATAAAATGGAGATAATAATAGTACATCATAGTATTGTTATGATATTTAACAAAGTAAAGTATTTACTATGGGTTAGACTTGTGTTGACACTGGGGTTACAATGGGGTTTTAGACCAGTAGGAGAGATAGGTAAACAAGTAATCATACAAATGTGGTGGAAAGAGGAGGACACCGTGCTGTAACAGCCTATAACAGGAGGATTAGATCCAGGAAGAATGGTCAGTGAAGACTTCCAGAAGAAGCAGGTGTTGTGCCGAGATCTGAAGGATGAGCAGGTGTGTAAACTAGGTGTAGAAGAATGGGAAGAACATCCTAGGTAGAGGGAAAAGCCGGTTCAAAAGCCCTGTGGTGGGAGGGAGCTTTGCATGTAGCAGGACCTAACAGGTCTATATGACGGAACAGAGAGAATACGTAGGTATATAATAAGAGATGAGTGTGAAGAAGATTAGATCATGTAGGACCTTTTAGGTATATTTAGGCATGTTGAATTCCTTCTTAATCCTAAGAGGAACAAGAAGCCATTAAAGATTTTTGAAGCAGAGGGATGAGTAATAGTGATCAGATCTGCATTTTGAAAGGATCACTCTAGTGGCAATGTGGCAAGTAGAATACAAAGAAGCCAGAAGAAAGGAGGACAAATTGAGACTATTGTCCAATCAAGACATGATGGTAGCATGGATTACAGTGATGAGGGAGGTGGAAACAAATTGATGGCTTCCAGAGATACAGTCATGTGCTGCATAATGACATTTCAATCAATTAAAGGCTACGTAAGATTATAATACTGTATTTTTACTGTACCTTTTCTATGTTTAAATGTATTTATATATGCAAATACTTACCATTGTGTTGCCCACAGTATTCAGTACAATAACATACTGTACAGGTTTGTAGCCTAGGAGCAATAGGTCATACCCTACAGCCTGGCTGTGTAGTAGGCTATTCCACCTAGGTTTGTATAAGTAACACTCTATGATGTTTGCACAAAAATGAAATCGCATTTCTCAGAATGTATCTCCATCATTAAGCAATGTATGACTGTATAAATTGCCCATAGGAACAATCTGTCCTTACATAAATAACTTCTGATAAGTAACTGGAGTTATAATAGGA